ATCGGGTTCTCGGTTTGGGAGTTAGAGCCGGATTTCACTTTAGGCAAACTAGTTCTTTAAGAAACTTGAATTCGAGGTGTTAACGTCCCAAAATCACCAAACAGCGTCGGTTTAGCACGAAACTTGGCACACACAACCACCTAGGCACGAGAGACTTGTGGGAGAAGACGGGGCTCGAATCGGGTTCCCGGTTTGGGAGTTAGAGTCGGATTTCACTTTAGGCAAACTAGTTCCTTAAGAAACTTGAATTCGAGGTGTTAATGCCCCAAAATCACCAAACGGCGTCGGTTTAGCACGAAACTTGGCACACACGATCGACTAGGCATGAGTGACTTGTGGGAGAAGACGGGGCTCGAATCGGGTTCTCGGTTTGGGAGTTAGAGCCGAATTTCACTTTAGACAAATTAGTTTCTTAAGAAACTTGAATTCGAGGTGTTAATGCCCCAAAATCACCAAACGGCGTCGGTTTAGCATGAAACTTGGCACACATGACCGCCTAGGCACGATAGACTTGTAGGAGAAAACGAGGCTTGAATCAGGTTCCTAGTTTGGGAGTTAGAGTCGGATTTCGGTTTAGTCAAAATTATTTACTAAACTATCTTTGTAATTATATAGTAGTTAATTTTTTTATATTTTTCTGTAATTAAAATATTAACACCATTATATTGTTATTAATTATTTTTATTTTGTTTTTTTTAGATATTTCCTGAGTAGCGTTTGCTTCTTGTGAAATGCGGGCGTGTAAAGATTATGACCAACTTTTATTTTTGTGACCCACGAAAAAATCAAGACGAAAACTTTTGGTATTGATTTATGTTATTTAAATTTGTGAACAACATTATGTATGTATTATGCGACATTATGTAGTGGCATAATTTTTATTGTTATGAATTTTTATTTATGTATTGTTATGAATGGAACAATATTATCAATGTTCATTATGTGCCAACTTTTGTTTATGTATGTATTTATATTATTATGTAATTTTTAGATTTTTTTTAGTTATTTTTCATTTAATACAGGTTATTTTTATATTTTTAATAATTTTAATACAGGATTTTTTTTTTTTAAATTTTTTTTTGAGACGACAGAGCACCCCGTCACAAAAAGAAAATGGTAGCAAGCTTTTTGCGACGGCACCAATACTGTTGCAAAAGGTAGGAATTAAAATGAAAATAAGGCCTTTAGCGATGGCTCAGGTTGCTGTCGACAATAGTCATTAGCGACAACACTTTTAGTGACGGGATTTTGGCCGTCGCAAAAACCTCTTTTAGCGACGGCAATACTGTACCGTCGCAAAAAAATCCAGATTTTCGTGGATCATTGGCGACAGAAATTTGCCGTCGCAAAAAAAAAATTTTCCCGTCGCAAAAACAATGGCGACGGCAAAGCCCTTTTGCAACTCCTTTTGTTGCGACCTCCACTTGCCGTGGCAAAAAACCATTTTACTGTCGCAAAAACCTTTAGTGACGGCGTTTGGGGTATTTGCGACGGCGTTTGGCCGTCGCAAAAAACAATTTTTTTTGTAGTGTTTTTATATGCATTTCTTAAGAAGAATAAATAAAATTTATTACATATGTATGCATAGACATAAATATTTTTGTTTATGTTTTTCAATCTGTGTGTATATTTTCCAAAGCCAATACATAAAATGGGTCGGGCCATGTAAGTGAGACGGGCCAAAGACGGTTCTATTGCATTTGCATTTGCATTTGGTAGACATTACCTAAGTAGTGAATGAACAAATACAATAATTTTTTTTTTAAAAAAAGTAAGTAGTGAATGGAATTATAATTAAGGTGATTGTTGAATTAGAGATATTTTTGCCAAATTCAAGTTGTTTTAAAATAAAATACTCAAATCTTACCTAGTTTTCAAAAATTTTGAAAATTTATTATCACCTTTGCATTTTATGAGTATTGCAGAATACTTAATTGGGATAACTCTGAATTTTATATAAGAAAATAATATTTTACTAACTCTTTATTTCATTAGTATGATTTCTAATTTTTTTTACATGTTAATTAATAATATCAATTTATGTAAGTCAATCTTATTATTAATAGAAAAAAAATATCACTTTTTTTATAAAAAAAATATAAAAATATATATTTTGAGTAATGTTAGAAAATTTTAAAATATTACCTCTAAATTTATCGACAAAAGCTTAAAAACTGTTTTTTGAAAATAATTGTTAAAAGAATATATTTGTTTTCTTTTTTCATAGGTACCCATTCCTTCCAGTAACATCATTCAGTGAACACCACATAGAAAACAGTAGAAGAGGTTGTTGACGATTATAAGGCTCAAATCATTACATTGATGGACAACAAGATAGTTGATTTTGCCAATAATCGGTTTCCCATATTAATTAGTAGATCTAATTCTAATGGGTATGGGTATAGACAGACATGTGACTTCTCTGTTCCCAAGAAGTACACTTCTCCGAGAGAAACATAGGTTGATCGTCGCTGTGATTGACGCACCGGGGATTCCCAAAGAGAGGGTTACTCTCGCATTTCCAACCATCAACGCCGCCGCTAATGTTGGTTTTGTGATCACTGCTAGTCCTTTTCCGACAGTGATTGGCAAACAATTAGTAGAAACAGTGCAAATGGGAATCCAAGGTGGTTGTGGTGGTGTAAAAATCAATCACTGTGTTTAGTTTGAGTTTTTTGAATTAAATTTTTTGAAAATTGACTTTTTTGATCTTTGTATTTTTTTATTTTTAGTGAATATTTTTTAAATTTTAAACACTTTTTTTACTTTTTTAAATGCACCTTACTTAGATGTATCTAAAAAGTAAAAAATATATGAAAAAATATTTTAAAAAATTAATAATTACATAAAAATACAAAAAATGTACTGAATTCTTATATTTTTGGTATTTAGTAAATTTTTAAAAGGTTTTTTTTTACAATTTTTTTACTTTTTAGATATATTTATGTTAGGTGTGTCTAAAAAGTAAAAAAATTGTTTAAAACATTAAAAAAATTCAATAAAAACAAAAAAACATGGAAAATATAGGAAACTAGAATTTTCTGAAAAGTGTTTTGGAAAATTGAAAACCAAGCAAGGTGAATATTATTTGTTACCTGTTCAACTAATTTCACTCCAAAAACAAATCATCTGGTTCTTGGACAAGCCAACCGCCGCAAAGGTTTAACAATACAGAAACTGATCACATCTCTTTCATAGGTGTGAGATTCATAAAAAAGTGAGATTTACCTTATGTGAGAGGATTGTGTTTAAATTGGCGATCATTTTTTATCTTTTTAAACCCTTCGGCCTCGTTTGGGAACTTGCTAATTTAGTAACTTTTTGGCTATTTGGTTAAAATATGAGCTAAAAAAAATTAATATGTTTCGGATGATTTTTTAGCTTTTTACGAAAAGATATACAAACAGTAGAGAGAAAAGAGAATCTTTAACTTTTTGATTTGAGTTATTGATTTTTAATTTTTTTAATGACTTTTTGATTAAAAAAATCACTTACCAAACGAGACCTAACATTCATATCATTTAATTGTGAGTTCGACTTTTATTGTGGGTAGAGGATATAAGTTGGGTATGTCCACTACTATTTATTTTCAAGTGTTGTAATTGGGAGGTGTATTTTGAAGAAGGAATGAAGGAAAGATTGAAATAATATTCTCTCTATTGTTTTGCTAACATGTGTTTGAATGACATAAAAAAAAAAAAATGATAAAAAGTGAAAATTACAACTTATATGAGACTTTTAACTAATTTAAAAATATTTTTAAATGAGTTTAAAATTATTATTTTTGAATATTTTACTATTTTAAAAGCATCGTTTACACAAATTGTAATTATATTTGTGATTTATTTATTTATTTATTTTTAACATGTAGCACAAATACCAAACCAAACCGGTGCCCATTTGGATTGGGCCTATTTGTCAATCATGCTAATCTTTAAGCGGATCAAATTATTCAAATGTGAAATCAAACTTTGTAACTTCGGCCTAAATTTTCAACAAAATGGCAAGGCATTTCATAAGTATGTTAAATTTGTAATAATTTGGGCAATTTACACTCACATCTCCTCCTGAAATTTTTTAAAAATATTGTTAATTCCACACTCTGGGATCATACTCGCGAGTTCTCCAAGAGATTTATCTGATTCATATGGAAGGGATACTTTATATGAGTCTCAAGATTTGTCAAGTTGTGCGTAAGTTGGCCTAGACATCTAGTCATTAAAACCTGTCATTAAAAAAAGAGAATATATATATATATATATATATTTTTTTCATTCATACTACTAATGAATGATTAATGAAAAATGATATAATTAATTATGTAACTTAAGACCTTAAAGAATGTTAGTATAATTATGTAAAAAATGTAAGGCTAATTTTTGTTTTAAAAAAATTTCAATGAGGTAAGTATAATTTATTGTAATTTATTGTAACCTTTTTATTATAAAAAATTGTAAATTACAATAAATCTATTTAAATTATGACTCATTTGTATTTTGTCTATTTAAATTTCAAAATTCAATAGTTAACCACTTCAAAATATTTTCTTATTATAATTAATCCATTCTATTAGGAATTTGTTAGAAATTTATACAAAATCATGTTATGTATGAAGCACAGGACACACTAATTAAAATTTTATGATAATAATATTTTTATTTGGAAATTTCATTTATATTTTCTCACTAAGATGAGAAAGACAAAGTAAAAGTAAAATCATCAAATAAAAATATTATTATTCTTAAAAATCAATAAGAGTATCATACCCTTTATATATGAACTGTCATGTCCCAACAATTTAGTGTAATAAGATAACATTTGAAATGATTTACTGTTGAGTTTTAAAATTTAAGAAAATGAAATATAAATTAATCTAATTTAAGGGGTTAAATGTAATTTATCCTGTAGAAAATTCAAAGGAGGTTATTGCAAATAACCCTTAATTTTACTAGGAGTTGAGTGCAATAGATTTATACACAGAATACAGACTACACAGACTGCGGAGCCAATCAACAAATATCTCTTAACGCTTCTCTCTCTCTCTCTCTCTCTCTCTCTCTCATCCATCTTCTGTTTCATCTGCCTTTGCGCACTTTTGGGAGAGGAGGGTCTCTCTCTCTATCTCACTTCTTTATCAGACGAACCAACCCTCAATTTCTTGTAATCTTTCTTCTGATTCTTGATCTGGGTTTTGAACACTTTCACATCAGATCATAGCTCTTCTTGTTTAAATCTTTCTTTGCTTCTTTTAAACTTTCCAAAACCATCTATAAAAATACAAAAAATCCATCTGGGTCTTGGTTCTGATTGACTCTCTCTTCTCATGCTTTTAACAGATTTGCACTCATGGTTCTTCTGATGCCTCACCTGGTTAGTTTAATTCCTATCTTTTTCTTTTTCTCTCTATAATTGTTTTTTTATTGTACTGTCCGTCGATTTTGTTGTTGATAGTTGTTGGTGTTGCAGGTGAGAAAAGCTAACTGTTATCAGTTTAATTAATTAATTAATTTATTTCTTTTATTTAGTTCGATTTAGTTCATCGTTGCTTGGATCTAAACTTGCATTCATCTGTGGCTTTTCTATGCCCTGTTATAGATCTTATTGGGTATATGTCAGATTGGGTTTTTTCTTTTTCTTTTTCTTTTTCTTTTTTGGTTTGTTTTTTAATCTGAGTTTTTCTTGGGATAATACCAGTATTGCTTTGATTATCAAGTTGTCTTTGATTCAAATTAGTTTAATTTCAGACTGTACAAGGAGGAATTGGGTAGTGTTCTGATTATCAAGTTGTCTTTGATTCAAATTAGTGTAATTTCAAACTGTATAAGGTGGAATTGGGTATTTTTCTTTTTATTTTTTGGTTTATTTGTTAATCTAAGCCTTTATTGGGATAATACCAGTATTGTTCTTGCTACTTATCAGAAAAAAAATTCCAGTATTGTTATGGTTATCATCGTCAAGTTATCTTTTGTTCAAATTGGTGTAGTTTCGAACTGTTTAAGGAGTAATTGGTATAATTTTGATATACATGAATGGAATTTTGTTATCTATAGTTGATTTTTAATTGGCTTTTGGCACATATATAAGTTTCTTCTTATCTTCAAGGTCTTTGGGGGAGGGTTTTGGAGGCTGCAGTGGGGAAGGGTTTTGGGCGGATTCTTATTTCCAGTTGCTATTTCAATTCTTGCTTTTGCTGTTGATTTGATCTGGTTATATTTATGCATCTCATAAAAATTGAACCAGTCCTCTTTGTCTTCTTAGCACAGTCTAAGCAAGATAATGAAGAAAATGAAGTTTTTAGGTAAATAAATATAGCCCTAATCTGTTTGAAACCATTATGTCAAACTAATATCCAATGTCTCTAATAAACCAAAGTCATCATTGTTTAATACCTATTTTACTTCAATTTTCTGTGGAAGACTATGTCAGTACTTCGTTCATTCTTCTTTTTGTTTTTTGTTTTTTGATATTGTTACACTCCATGCATGTTTCCAGTAGACCTTGTACAAATTGAGCTAATTGTGCTGTTCAACTTGCAACGTTTAGTGTGAAAGTTGAAAACCAAATACAATGATTTTATTGTCCCAGGATGTTGAAAGACTTAAAAAACATGCCATAATTATTTTGTTCCTACAAAACATCTTTTTTGATTTTTCAACTACCCTCTATCTTTTGAGTTCTGTTGAGTATTACTGAAAGCAGCACAACTAATTCAAGTCTTAAGGTGTTTTTTTGTTTGTTTTGCAGAAATCTTCATTTGTTGTGTGAACTTTTCTCTGTTAAGGTTCTATGATAATGGGTAGAGGTAGGGGAAAGGGAAAAAAGTTTTCAGCTGCTAATCATGAAGATGCTGGAAGCGGTGAAGAAGAAAAAATTCCGGTACAGAAGAAAAGGGGAAGGCCACAAAAACCATTGAAGGATGAGATTGACGAAGAAGAATTTGAAAAAGTTGAAGAGGAAGACAGTGAGAATACAAAAAATGGTGTCTTGAGCAAAGAGACGAAAAGTTCAGTAGCAGCAGAGAATGGAAAGAAGAGGAAGCGGAATTTGCAGGCAAAAGAGAAGCCAGATTCAATCAAAGTGGAAAATGGTGTTGGAACGAGATCAAGCACTGATGACTCGACAAAGTCCAATGGTTTTCGTCATAATGGAAGCAGGCGGAAAAGTAAGCCTCGCCGAGCAGCCGAAGCAGGTGTTGAGTGCAAGTAATATGATTGATGGCTAGCATTTGCAGTTGATTTCGTCCTTTTTGCGTGTTGGACAAATCATGGGATGAGTGAAGCGCCTAGTGAATCTCTAGTTTCGTTTTGTTGTTTCGTTGTTGCTCCTCGTTTTGGTAATTCCTTTTTTTGAATTCCTTCTTGATTTTAGTTGGAAGGTCTGGAAATGATCATACTGGTTGCAGTCTTCCTTGATCTATTATATTTGATACTTTCACTAGTCTCTTGTATTAAATTTTTTACATGCCATGCTTATGCAGTTTCTTTAACTTTCATCCTTCTTGAAGTTCGCATTCTGTTATATTCCAGTATGACTACTAAATTTTAATATTCGACAGAACCCTCTACAGTGATGTGCAAACTATAACTCTGCTGATAGCCACATAACATCACATCTTCCCTGCAGTTATGACATCCTTGCTTCACATTTGCATTTCCGTCTGGACTGGAATGAAAAGATAATTTCAATGAATATGATAGACACTTTGTTTTGTTGTTAAGGGGCTCTGTGTCGAAGGGGAGTTTCAAGGATTCTTGGTAATTATCATTTTTCCTTGTTGTGTCAAGGATTCCTGGTTAGTGTTGAGGAAATTTTGGCACGGGCCCAAGATGATATGACACGAACATGACCAACCTGACATAATTCTCCCATCTTAGTTGTTTCCTTTTGGTCTTTTGTGAGGATTGAGTACAATTGCATGCTGAGGCATTTTAGTAACTAGGGCTAGGAAAGAGAGCATCATGTCATTAATGACAACTATGAATTGGTGTTATATTTTGGTTCATGAATGTATGTTCAAAATATTTGCAAAATACGAAAAGTACAATGAAGGACCGAGATGAGAAGAAAGGTTGGAGATTTGCCTTGCATATGCAGATGATAAGAAGATTTTCAGGTAACACCCACGATGTCTTCCCTTAGCCTTTAAGATTTAAAGATTATTGATGGATACTACTTGCAGAATTTAGGGCTGGAACAAGTTGATATGTTTTGTTGTGAATTTTAGGAAGATTGTATGTTTAAGGTTTGCATGCAGCTCTGTAGAATTCAGTTGCAGGTTTATTTAGGTGGTCAAGTGATCTAAATTTTTTTGATAAATTCCAATGCAAAACTTGAATGATCACCTTGAGATTGGACAGCCTTGGATAACTTTGAACAGTACTGCCTACAACTGGTACTGGTTCTAGTTCTTGGAAAATTTCCTACCTTTATTATCCTTTTGGTTCTTTTTTTTTTTTTTTTTTTTTTAATCTCTTCGTGAAGTACAGTATATCTATAGCTTACTCTTAAAGGTATGAGGAAGGGAGTTGCTATGTGGTGAGGACAGGTGAATCTGCAACAGGTGGCATAGATAGGGACTAATGAAGCTCGGATTAGGGTTGATTTGGCTGATGGATAGGGTTTTGAGATTGAAAGAGGGTCTATTCGAGCTTCTAGGGTTGTGAATAATAACTTGTATTTTCTTGTGAAGCAGGATGAGACGAAGAATTTGAAGAGCTTCACCCTTGCAAGTTTTAGGAAAAACCAAATTAACATTAATCTATAAAATTCTCATAAACTCGACTTTATTGAATAACAAGATTACATTGATATCACTACACTGTCATATTTCAAATATTAACATTAATCTAAAAGTTCTTATAAACTCGACTTTATTGAATAACAAGATTACATTGATATAAAAAAACTGCCAAATTTCAAATATTAACATTGATCTAAAAATTCTCATAAACTAAACTTTATTGAATACCAAGATTACATTGACATCAGTACACTCTCATATTTCAAATAGTAATTCTTTTATCTTAGTCTTGCAAAATGATTGATTGTAATTCTCAGTGTCAATCTCTTAGCCCGCTTCCTCATCTGCTCAAAATGCCTCATTTTAGCTATAGGTTACATCCAAACCAATTAGTTGTTCTCAACTCCGTTGATGAGTTCTCAAATTGAGATGCTATTAGGAACTCCCTTTCCTGTCACTCCAGGCTCCGAAAATGGCTTCAGAAGCTCATAAGGCACCACCCCAGCTCCAACCCTATTCTTCAAACTCATGTTTGCATTTCTATCATCAATCACTCCTTCAAGCTCCTTCAACTTCCCATTAAACCTCTCAAATGCTGCCTTCAAAACCAGATTCTCAGTCCATGCTGGCTCCATCTAACTTTCCCTATATACTCCTCGTCTACCGAATGATTTGACAAAACATCCAAAACTGCCATAACTTTTGTAGCTTGAATCTGCGAAGGAAATCAACAGTTCTACCTCCGGCTTGTTCAGGAAATTCTTCAACTCTTGCTCCGATGGATCTTCTGTTGGCATTTTCCGCGTGGCAATGCTTGGCCTGTTCGGGCAATAACCTGCGAAAGCGTATTTTCCAAAGTTGACTGCAGAGTGGTGACCGGAGGCTACCCAGATCATGGTTGTGAGAATGCCGATGAGGTCCTCAGGGGTTTTCAAAGCCGGCCACCATGGATCGTCCTTTTTGTCTTGGTGACTGACTATTCGGATCTCTGTCCACCATGATTGAAGCTCTTCGTCGGAGTTTATGAAGCTCGGATCTGGGTAATAGTGTTTCACATAGTCTGTAACCCATTGTTTGATGGCATCCCAGAGAACAAGACCATCATTGGCAAAAGGGTAGTCCTCTATTGTTAGCTTTAGGCCATGAGGAGAGGTTGGATCATCCACAGCCATTCCCTAACATTTTAGCAAAACAAAAAAGTTAGCAGAAGATTTCGGCCCCTATTGGGGATGTATTGGAATCAAAATACTAAAAATTTGATGTAATGAAACAACTCTGTTTTTAGTTACGTAAAGTAAATTACCTGCTAATTAAGTCAGCTGGAAGAGCCTGGAGGTCAAACCACCATTGTTGGTCGTAGGCAACAGAGCTAAGCTCCATGCAGTACTTGGCAGGGGAGAAAGATGTCTCGATGATTCCGTTGGCATTGATGAGAGCTTCACGAGCAAGAGCATTGATCTCCATCGTGTACCGGAAATGAGGGTGCAGTAGTCTGTAAATAGGGTGCATCGCGCTCAGCTGCCTGTTACTCGCTATTATGTAAGGCTCTGTCGCACAGTTTGTTCCTAACCTGCAAAACTCAATCGCAATGAATACAATACTACCAACACATCTGCAGATATGCATACTACTCCACATATTACTGTAAGATTGTGTTCAATTCAAGAATTCAAGAGGAGATTTGTGGAAGAAAAGAAAAAAAGAAAAAAAAGATGTAATATAGATGGTGCAAGACTGAATCAGAATTGAGAAATAGGTAGTGGAGTTTACTAACCAGTGACTGACAAGCTGGTGATAGCCAGAATCATGAACAAGAACATGAGTCTTAGCAAGCCTCCACAGCCAGCAACCAGTAGCATCCCATGTTGGAGTGAACACTTGCTTCCACTCAGCCTTACCATCCATGGGCGGCTGAGTTAACTCAATCGCTAACGGCCTCAACGTGCCGTTTGGTGTCAGGAAGAACAATGTCCTAGATCCATAGAGTGTAGTCCCTTCTATCTTTCTCACTTTCTTCACATATGGCAAGAGCAAGTCATGGTAATCCAGCATGAATAGCTTCTTTTCTTGCAATGCCTGCACACATACATTCATTCATATCATCAAATTTGACACCTTAAAAAAAAAAAATAGATAAAAAAAAAAATCATGAAAAAAAATTATGTGACTACGTTATGAATTTGCAGGGGTGCATTTATAATTTACTCAATTAAGAATTATATATGTATTTTTTTTGGGTGAATTTGCACGGCATTATTATTAATAGTAATACCTCTTCAAGGGTGATCATGCCTCTGATTTCTCGCTCAATAAATAGCAGATTCGGGAGTCCCATAGATCTTAGGGTCGAGTTTACTCCTCAATGGCCATTCCTGCATTTAATCAAATCAAATCAAATACATACCTAATTCTTTGGAAAAATTACCACACGTGATACTGTCAAAACTTATTACAATTTCATGGTAAAAATAATTATTTTAATAATTAATATTTATTAAATTTATCATTTATTTATAATTATTTTTTGGACTTTAAACTGAATTGTAATTTTCCCTAATTCTTTTAGCATTGGGTTGCCTTGGAAGGTGCCATAGGCCCCAAATTTTCTATCAAATATCTCACATGGACGTGAATTCACAAAATTGCGGATCCCACACTTATGTGAAACATTTGATCATTTATCTGGAAGAAAATTTGGTGTCCTTAGCATTACCCGGTTGCCTTTTGTTAAATACTGTTAAAACATCATCATACCTTGACCAATTGTATGCTATATGGGTTCAGACCAGCCAACGTCTGTCGTGAGAATTCCTCATCCCTAAACCATGAAAATTTGTCTTCTGCAATTCCGAATAATAATATTAAATAAAACAAAGAGAAATTTTGTTAGATTTTTTTATATCAACTTATTTATATATATTTAAATTTTGGATTTCAGATAAACACAATTGGACAATAAATACATATGAATAAATAAGATTTTATATATTAGTGCGGTCTATTTGAAAAAAATAATAATAATATTGGTTTATATAATTTTGAATTTGATTTTCTAATCGGTTTATGGCGTTGTTTGACATCCAGTTAAAAGAAACCACTTTTTTTATAAACTTTTTGCTTATAGTGGCCTCGTTTGAGAAGTGACTATTTTAGTAGGCTATTTGACTTTTTGACTATTTTAGTAGGCTATTTATTTTGTGTTTGGGAAGGTGAGATGAATTTTTAGTTGAGTTGTTGTATTGGAAAGTGTGTTGAAATGATGTTTAAATTTAAAATGACAAATTTATCCCTAAAAATATGTTTTTTTAAATTGATATCAAGGGGTAAAATCGTAATTTACTTATTGATGGAACAAGTGCTATAGCTGACAGTGTAGGCTGTGCCTACACTGTCGGCTGTGCAACCTATATATTTTTTTTTTTTGGAAAAGCATCCAACAGTGTTGTTTTTGGGTTTTTTTCTCAAAATAGGCTATAATAGCCTCGTTTCTGACTTTCCAAACGGCGCCAGTGATTTTTTTTTTATTATTTAAAAAAGTGTTGAATTATTATTTTTGAATCTAAAAATTTAAAAATAAATCAAAAAATTCAAGACAAAAGAAAATTGTTTTTTATTTTGTTTTGTCTTTAAAAACTTTCTTTCCTTTTTATTTATTTATTTACTTTTACTTTTTCTGATTTATCTAATTGAGCAGTAGTTCTAAAAGTTTAAAATAATTCACTTTTAAAAAAAATAAATCCCAAATCACTTGTTCATACAATATCGATATGTATTCTAATACCGTTATTAATTAATAAAAAAACATGCTTGATTGTAGGTTCTTACTTTCTACGAGTGCAGGGGTCTCAAAGCGCAAGATGTCTTCTTGAGAATCATTAATGAACTTGACAAGCCTGGGAAGCAGATCTTTCAAAAATCCATTCTTGTGGAGTGGTGGAAGGTTTACTCCTTCATTGGACAGTGAATCTAGAGTTGTGAAGTATGGAAATCCGAGGTTTGTGTCAACAATGGCGGTCTCCAGAGACGGTACCAGTGCGTGCAACACTGAGTATACAGTTTTTGCTGAGAATGTAAGTTGTTTCACCTCTGAGAACGACTCCTCCCTCGGCACATAAACGGTTGAACTTCTTGACACTCAGAATGAGTCTATAGAGGTTGACGATTAGAGACGATATGAGATATTTTAATAGACTGTTATCTTATTGGGTTTGGAAAGTGAATATAACTTTTAGACTAGAATAGCACTATGCACTCTATTGAAAATGATATATGAAAATGATATTTTTTGTCCAATTTTCTTCTATAAGTAGATACAAAGATAGTGAATAAGACTCGTGATGAAATTCTATTGACACAGAATTGTACTAAAAAATTAATGAAATGAATATATTCTCCTTTAATTAATGGCTACATCATTTGTACCTGTCTTGCATTGAGGTCGACTTGTTCTGTAACGTCTAGGGTGTGAATGTTCTTTACCACCAAGTACGGGTCTCTTCAATTCAAGATTACTGTCTGAATCATTAATATCATTATAAATATCGTAATCGTAAATCCTATCATGTGTCATGCGCTCTCCTCGCCATCCTTGTAGATTTTCTAACTCTTTCTTTCTAACTCTTTCTTTCTAAGCCTCTTCAATCCACTTGGTGTTTGGCCTGGCAAGTATGACTGCTCTTATAAAACACAAAAATTGAGTTACAAAACACTTCCATGAATATATATATATATATAAATAGATAATTTAAAAAAAGTCTTACTAATAAATTCATGTAATATAGATGGTGCAAGACTGAATCAGAATTGAGAAATAGGTAGTGGAGTTTACTAACCAGTGACTGACAAGCTGGTGATAGCCAGAATCATGAACAAGAACATGAGTCTTAGCAAGCCTCCACAGCCAACAACCAGTAGCATCCCATGTTGGAGTGAACACTTGCTTCCACTCAGCCTTACCATCCATGGGCGGCCGAGTTAACTCAATCGCTAACGGCCTCAACGTGCCGTTTGGTGTCAGGAAGAACAAGGTCCTAGATCCATAGAGTGTAGTCCCTTCTATCTTTCTCACTTTCTTCACATATGGCAAGAGCAAGTCATGGTAATCCAGCATGAATAGCTTCTTTTCTTGCAATGCCTGCACACATACATTCATTCATATCATCAAATTTGACACCTTAAAAAAAAAAATAGATAAAAAAAAAAATCACGAAAAAAAATTATGTGACTACGTTATGAATTTGCAGGGGTGCATTTATAATTTACTCAATTAAGAATTATATATGTATTTTTTTGGGTGAATTTGCACGGCATTATTATTAATAGTAATACCTCTTCCAGGGTGATCATGCCTTTGATCTCTTGCTCAATAAATAGCAGATTCAGGAGCCCCATAGATCTTAGGGTCGAGTTTACTCCTCAATGGCCATTCCTGCATTTAATCAAATCAAATCAAATACATACCTAATTCTTTGGAAAAATTACCACACGTGATACTGTCAAAACTTATTACAATTTCATGGTAAAAATAATTATTTTAATAATTAATATTTATTAAATTTATCATTTATTTATAATTATTTTTTGGACTTTAAACTGAATTGTAATTTTCCCTAATTCTTTTAGCATTGGGTTGCCTTTTGTTGTCTAATTAGTTAGTTAAATACTGTTAAAATATCATCGTACCTTGACCAATTGTATGCTATATGGGTTCAGACCAGCCAACGTCTGTCGTGAGAATTCCTCATCCCTAAACCATGAAAATTTGTCTTCTGCAATTCCGAATAATAATATTAAAACAAAGAGAAATTTTGTTAGATTTTTTTATATCAACTGATTTATATATATTTAAATTTTGGATTTCAGATAAACACAATTGGACAATAAATACATATGAATAAATAAGATTTTATATATTAGTGCGGTCTATTTGAAAAAAATAATAATAATATTGGTTTATATAATTTTGAATTTGATTTTCTAATCGGTTTATGGCGTTGTTTGACATCCAGTTAAAAGAAACCACTTTTTTTATAAACTTTTTGCTTATAGTGGCCTCGTTTGAGAAGTGACTATTTTAGTAGGCTATTTGACTTTTTGACTATTTTAGTAGGCTATTTTAGTTTTGTGTTTGGGAAGATGAGATGAATTTTTAGTTGAGTTGTTGTATTGGAAAGTGTGTTGAAATGATGTTTAAATTTAAAACGACAAATTTATCCCTAAAAATATGTTTTTTTAAATTGATATCAAGGGGTAAAATCGTAATTTACTTATTGATGGAACAAGTGCTGTAGCCTACACTGCCGGCTGTGCAGCCTATATTTTTTTTTTTTTTTGAAAAATCTTCCAACAGTGTTGCTTTTGGGATTTTTTTCTCAAAATAGGCTATAATAGCCTCGTTTCTGACTTTCCAAACGGCGCCAGTGATTTTTTTTTATTATTTAAAAAAGTGTTGAATTATTATTTTTGAATCTAAAAATTAAAAAATAAATCAAAAAATTCAAGACAAAAGAAAATTGTTTTTTATTTTGTTTTGTCTTTAACAAACTTTCTTTCCTTTTTATTTATTTATTGACTTTTACTTTTTCTGATTTATCTAATTGAGCAGTAGTTCTAAAAGTTTAAAATAATTCACTTTTAAAAAAAATAAATCCCAAATCACTTGTTCATACAATATCGATATGTATTCTAATACCGTTATTAATTAATAAAAAAACATGCTTGATTGTAGGATCTTACTTTCTACGAGTGCAGGGGTCTCAAAGCGCAAGATGTCTTCTTGAGAATCACTAATGAACTTGACAAGCCTGGGAAGCAGATCTTTCAAAAATCCATTCTTGTGGAGTGGTGGAAGGTTTACTCCTTCATTGGACAGTGAATCTAGAGTTGTGAAGTATGGAAATCCGAGGTTTGTGTCAACAATGGCGGTCTCCAGAGACGCTACCAGTGCGTGCAACACTGAGTATACAGTTTTTGCTGAGAATGTAAGTTGTTTCACCTCTGAGAACGACTCCTCCCTCGGCACATAAACGGTTGAACTTCTTGACACTCATAATGAGTCTATAGAGGTTGACGATTAGAGACGATATGAGATATTTTAATAGACTGTTATCTTATTGAGTTTGAAAAGTGAATATAACTTTTAGATTAGAATAGTACTATCCACTCTATTGAAAATGATATATGAAAATGATATTTTTTGTCCAATTTTCTTCTATAAGTAGATACAAAGATAGTGAGTAAGACTCGTGATGAAATTCTATTGACACAGAATTGTACTAAAAAATTAATGAAATGAATATATTCTCTTTTAATTAATGGCTACATCATTTGTACCTGTTTTGCATTGAGGTCGACCTGTTCTGTAACGTCTAGGATATGAATGTTCTTTACCACCAAGTACGGGTCTCTTCAATTCAAGATTACTGTCTGAATCATTAATATCATTATAAATATCGTAATCATAAATCCTATCATGTGTCATGCGCTCTCCTCACCCATCTCCTTGTAGATTTTCTAACTCTTTCTTTCTAAGCCTCTTCAATCCACTTGGTGTTTGGCCTAGCAGGTATGACTGCTCTTATAAAACACAAAAATTGAGTTACAAAGCACTTCCAAGAATATATATATAAGTCATAACAAACAAAACATCACATCCAACCCATAATCAATTACATTCTTCTCTCACAAAAAAACTCAAAAAAGTCAAAAAGTCAAAAAGTCCTTCCCAAACCAAGCTTTTAAGCCCAGGCTAAAATAGCCAAAAAAGCCAAAAAGCCAAAAAGCCAACCCACTTCCCAAACGGAGGCTTTATAAGCTCAATTTCTTTTTTTTTTCTTCTTCTTAAGAATGTGAATAAATGGAGCCGAATTGAAGAGCAAGTTATTCAAGTTTAACTTGAAAACTTAATTGTTGGATTTCAAAACATGTTTTAATTTGTCTTGTTTATTTTTTGAGCTAATGTTTAACAAACTTTTATCTAAGTCAAATTCGTGTCATTTGATTTTTTATAATATATATTCCGAGTTAATCAAATAACTTGGTTCATTTTTTAGGTTTGGCTAATGAACATTATTTAGGATTTGATATGCTTGTTAAAAATGTCATGTAGACAGAAATGTCAAAATTGAAAATTAGAAAATCTATGTATAATTCATAATAATAATAAAGAGTAAATATGACTCTTATATTATTATTTATTTATTTATTTTTGATGAGACTCTTACATTGATTATTCTATATAAATTTTAGGATATATTACAAATATAACTCTTGAAATTTGATTAAAATACGAATCGCCTTTATAGTTTTGAAAATTAAATCCTATCTCCTGAGATTTCTAATTTTATAATAAATCTTCCCTTTTATTAATAGATCATTAAGTAAATTAATAATTTTTAGTAATATTAAAAATATGTTTCAATCAATAATATATGTAATTTTATTCATGTATAGGAGAGTAATTATGAATTTTATTTTTCTAATTAATTCTGTTAAATAAAAAATTTTAACAATGAAATATTTATAATTTTTTAAATTACAAGAAGTAATATGTACTTTAAATAAATCTCAGAGATATATTTATAATTTATCTTAAATTTTATGATTTTTTTTTTTGGTTGTACATGCAGTAATCAGTGGATGCCACGTGGAGATCAGAGCGCGATGTCAATTCGAAAATGAAATATGGATAAAAATAAACTTTGGACCACCTACAAATTGTATCTTACAATGGAACCGTACGATAATGGCGGTAATATTGGTATGGACCGTCAACATCAACGTCAACAACGCTTGGATTAGTGGTTTTTGTTCAATAATTAGTCAATAGATATATATATTTTGGATTTCAGTGATAATGTTGACAAATAATATTTAAGAAAATTAAAAAAAATAAAAATAAATAAAGGTGCGACTTTTGTAATAAAATGAATGTTGAATTTTTAATTTTATTAATTTAAACTTAGGGGTTTATAATATTTTGATTGGTTTTTAATCTAATTCATTTGTTAACTTTGTTAAGTATAACTGACAGAAAAATAATATTTTAAATATTTTATGTATACTTATATTGAGTTTAATAGTTAATTTTTTTTTGTCAGTTTATTTAACAAAAATAGACAAATGATTTGGATTGAAAATAAATTAATAAAATAAAAAATTAAAAAAATTATTTGATTACAAGGGTGAAACCCTAATTTATTTATTTATTATTGTAATTTCTCCTAATATCTACTTCAATTTTAATTGGAACAGTTAGATTATAAACTTTATTAATGCTGACTTGCTATGATAAAAAAGGAACGCAAAACAAAATTATAACGGAGAAACTAAACTCGGGTGTGTTATACGATTATCAAACTTTGAAGCAACCCATGAATTGCATGTAACACAAACAGGACCATTAGGGAACCCATCAAGGCTATGTTCTTGAGGTACATCTCATTGTGATGTTCATTCTCAACTAACACAGCTCCAATCTCTCCAAACTCTTCTGCAACTTCAAAATTCCATTTGTATTTCACTTCATTCTCATCTTGGCTCATCCGACGCGCATACCCTTTAATTGTTTCTTTCTCTAATCCAGTCTCTGATCAAGATCATATGAGTAAAACATGTTTAAATTGGGTAATTGAAACAAAATAAATAAATTCATGCTTTATTAAATTAACTAAAAGAACATCAAATAAAATCATACTTGACAAATTACATCATAGAGCATAAACATGAAACAAGACTAATATAAGGGCATATTTAATTTGAATATGAAAACAGGAAATCAAACCAAATTCTGTGTGATACTACAGTGTCTTTAAAACAGATTAGCCGCCTCACTGTGGGTGCTAGAGGAACGTCGACTTCTGTCATTACAACAAAATGCACCTTTGGCGACTGAAATTGGCGACTAAAAAAAATTTAGTCGCCAAAAGTTGTGGAATTGGCGACTAAAATTTTTTTTAGTCGGCAAAAGTACAATATTTAGTTACTAAATTTTTTTAATAGGGGTATATTTACTATTGGCGACTAAAAAAAAATTTAGTCGCTAAAAATACCACAATTGGCGAAAAAAAAAAAACTTAGTCGCTGTATATTGACTTTTGGCTACTAAAATATTTAGTCGTCGAATGAAAAATAAAAATATTATTTTTTCTTTTTGGCGACTAAAATTAGTTGCCAAAAACTTACTTTCAGTGACAAAATTATTTAGTCGCCGTATATTGATTTTTGGTGACTAAAATATTTAGTCGCCGAATGAAAAATAAAAAAATTATTTTTTTTCTTTGGCAAAAACTTACTTTCAGCGACAAAACATTATTTTAGTCACCGATTATTTTTATTATTATTTTTTTACCTTTCAATGACTAAAATTTAGTCGGCAGATGTCTTCAAAATTTTACTGGAAAACATTTGATATTGGCGCCTAAATTTTTGCCCAAATCTATTCACACGGTTCTCTCTCTCTTGCTCTCCCTCTGATCAGTACACCAAACCAGATGTACGCTCAGTGACGGTCACCACCTCACCGTCACACGTCGCCACCGCTGCACGTCGCTACCTCCACTGCTGCAAATCACAGGTTCTTGTCCCTCTCTCTCTGTCGCTCTCGGTCCTCTCCCTCTCTGTTGATCTGGATCTCTCTCTCTCTCTCTTTCTCTTTATACAATCCATACCTTGCAATTTTTGTGGTGAGTAATTTTTGTTTTGCTCTATTCAATTTGCCTATCATTTTCAATTTTGGGTATGATTTGAGCTAGTTTTTTTGGATTTTTTTTTTTTAAAATTATAATTATTTTTAATCATCGGAGTCTTAGGTGTTTGTTAAGTTCGCATCGATGTCGGAAGATGAAAGAGAAGAGAAGGAGTTGGATGTCTACTCTCCTGAAGTTGTCACCAAATACAAGAGCGCTGCTGAGATCATTAACAGTTATTCTCTCTCTCTCTCTCTCTCTCTCTCTATATATATATATATGTATGTATGTGTGTGTATGTATCTATGATTCTGTGTTTCTATATACGTAGCTTAAAAGTAACGCCTTTTGTTCGAGGACGAAAGAGAAACCAAAAAAAAAAAAAAAAACTGGGAATTGAAATGTGGTTTTTGGTGGGTATTCATTAAATGTTGTGTTTGATTATGCATGTATGCATTGTTTTTTGATGACCCAGTTCTACAAATTTATGGAACAAATTGAAAATATGCAGAGGCTTTGCAATTAGTACTGTCAGAATGCAAACCAAAGGCTAAGATTGTTGATATTTGTGAGAAAGGTGATTCATTTATCAGAGAGTAAGTTATCTCTCTCTCTCTCTCTATATATATATATATGTATATATATGATTGTGTATATACATGGGTTTGAGTTTACATTTTAAATTTTAGGGTTCTTTTGATTCTAAGTAGTTGCAAATATGTGTAATATATAGTCAATTTGGGAATATGTACAAGAATGTCAAGAAGAAGATTGAAAGAGGGGTTGCATTCCCCAATTGTGTTTCTGTGAACAACACTCTTTGTCATTTCTCTCCACTTGCCAGCAATGAGGTAGTGCTGGAAGAAGGTGATATGGTGAAGATGTAAGTTTTATTTGAGCACCATCTATCTATATACCATGAGAGGAGCTAATGTTACTGTTTGTGAATAATGACGTACTTTTATGTTTAGATGCAGTGACATGGGGTGTCACATAGATGGTTTCATTGCTGTTGTAGCACACACCCATGTCCTTCAGGGAGGACCAGTGACTGGTAGCCAAGCTGATGTTATTGCCGCAGCAAATACTGCAGCAGAGGTTGCCTTGAGGCTTCTAAGGCCGAGAAGAAAGGTAAAAATATATTAGGCTTGCATTTTAATTTTGTCTTAACCTAATATGAATCATATGATACCATTTTGAGTTGTAATTGTTGAATGCTTAGAGTGAGTAATGGCTTCTGTTTTTTTCTTTTTGTATCATAGACATTTACCTTAATTTTTTTGGCCAACAATATCTACAACCTTGCAATAAAAAAAATAGATGATTGATTGTTTTGTGGATGGTTTGGAAAAAAATATATGAAAGCTTTTTATTGTTTGTGTGGTTGTGCCTTGGTGTGACTTGTTATGCCAGCTCAGAAATCCTTCTAGCTTCCCCTAAATGAGGAATATTCTGAATAAGCTATGGATTAACATCCAGATGAAGCTTTTGTCATAGTTACTCTGATAGGGGATATTGCTTTTATGCAAGTTAAATAAATTCTTTAATATCTTATTTTAATTTCTAAAAACATGTTGAATCTTTTTCTCTATTTTTTTCCTTTGTAGAGCCACATGATCTGTATTGGGTGTACTTAGCATTCTCCTTGTATGTTGTCACAAGACACAAATTTTATAGAATATTTTGAGATCAGATAAACTATCTATAGAATAGTAATATAACTGCGTACACAATCTATGAAGAAGGCAACTTTGCTGAGGTGATCAATCCGTTGTTGATTCCTTGTTTTCTCTGTTGCCTATATTGTACTATGCCATACTTGGGATGCTGTGGGTTGATTTGTTGCTGATGCTTACAATTCTTGGAGGCAAAATCTTTTTAATCAACAAAAAAAACTTATGTAGAGTTGTTCTAGACCTTTAGGATTTAGCTTGGTCACTTCAATGGGTATGGCAATTACTTTTCTTTTTCACCAAGTTGCCTTATTTGGTTATATTGGGTCACATACTAACTGTATTGGATATGCTTTTGAATTTTACAAATGCTGAAATTGAATTGTATACTTCACCTGAGTTATGATTTATATTCATGAAGAAGATAGCCAAAGGCTATTGGTTTATCTCTGTATAGCTGAATCTCTTTCTTTATGGCAGAATAAAGATGTAACAGAAGCAATTCAGAAGGTTGCTGCTGCCTATGACTGCAAAATCGTTGAAGGTGTCCTTAGTCACCAGCTGAAGCAGTTTGTGATTGATGGAAACAAGGTTGTATTAAGTGTCTTGAGTCCTGAGACTAGAGTTGATGATGCAGAGTTTGAGGAGAATGAAGTTTATACAATTGATATAGTCACAAGCACAGGTGAAGGCAAGGTAATTATGCTTGCCATGTAGACCTACCTCGATATTATCTATTCTTGTTTTATTTCTGCTCATATTTTTGGTGTCAAATTTGCAGCCTAAGCTATTAGACGAGTAATAGACAACTATTTACAAAAGAGCTGTTCACAAGAACTATCATTTGAAGATGAAAACGTCAAGGTTCATATTCGGACTCATAGAGGGATTGGTTAGCAGGCCTGGGGTAGAGTATTTATGCTGGTGATTTTGCTTTAGGTTTATGCGGACATTACTTGTTTTTGCTATACAATCTTTTATACCATTTCCTAATTCCATGTTTCCATACCCATTTAGGCTTTAGTTATTTTAAACTTTGTGTCAATCACTTCTACACCTATATAAGCTCATATTAAACAATCTAAATTTTTTTATATGGTTGGGATTGCTTGTCTTATTTTTGGTTGAATTTGGATTGAAGGCTTACCGAGCATGATAGCAATAGGGACTTCAACATGCAATGGTTTCATGACAAAAGGAAATCTGCCCGAAAGGTTGAAGACTTTGTGAATCTTGTTTTATCCTCTTATGATGATAAAGAAGCCTTGAGAAGTAAGTTGATGATGCCACTTATGATTATAAAGATGCCTTCCAAAAATGATATTGATTTTTCCTTTTAGTCTTTTTGTTTGTGATTATAGCCTTCTTGATGTAAAAGCAGTTGTGATTATTATGTTCTGTAGTCATTGGGAAGTCAGCTTTTATTTCACATATTTATGATGATAAATCTTTTAAAATGTTGTGGAATTTTTTGGAGGTTGGAAAATGACTGCACTGATGGAGAATGCATATGCTTCATTTTATCTCATTTTCCCTTTTCCTGAACTCTGATCTCCCCATGTTGCTTATTGTTTGATTTCTTTGGAGAACATGCATATACTTCATTTTATCTCATTGGTTTGAAGTTAAAAAATGTCAGCTTCTCTCTTATAGTTTTTAGGTGGATTGCTGCCACATGTTGAATAAGCTTGCTATACTCTTATTTCTTAACTTCTTTTATTTGTGGTTTGCTCAATATCATTCCAGGCATGTACAAGCAAGAGTTCATTTTCTGTGTGCACATGAAGGAGAGGTTGCATAGTTCAGATGATTATCAGGCATTCTTGAAGTGTCTTCATATTTACAGCACAGAGATAATCACAAAAAAATATTTACAAAGTTTGGTATGTGAGATCCTTGCTATCTATCCTAGTGGCAATTTTATTCTTTTGCATCTATAGAACTACTAACTGTTCCATTACAAACAAGAACTTGGGTTAATAACCCTTATTGAATTTGCACTATTGATTTCATATGGTGTTCAGTTGTAAGTTTTTAGGTCGATGTTTTTAGTGTTTTCACTAGGAATGCAATGTTGTTATCATGGCTTTTCAGCACTTAATGTTAGACTCATTTTTTAAACATAATGATATGACACTTTATTAAAATATCTAAATTAATTTTCTCTTATTTATTCTTAAATCATCAATCAATCATCTTACTTACACATCAGTAGACATAAAAAGTAGATCTAAAAAGTAGATTTGTATATCATTTTTCTTAGACATTCTTGAAACATCAAATGTGTTTTAGTAAAAATTTAGTGAATGTAGTATTGCTCTCATATTTTTGTCATGTAAATGCTTGATTAACCTCTCAACCAACACTACAATAAATTAAGGTTTTAGAGGAGGGAAAAATACAAAATAGCCACCGAACCACCGCATGGACGTCACAACCAGTTTCCTTACGTCAAATAAGACTTGTGATAACAGACGGAATGACATTAGCACTTGTAGGTTGAGAGTTAGAGCTGAAAATGGCTTAAACTTAACCGAAAAAGGGCGTTAAGGGGGTGAAAATGCAAAACAGTCCTCGAATCACCGAACGGACGTCACAACCAATTTTCTCACTTCAAATAGGGCCTGTGACAATAAACAAAATGTCATTAGCACGTGTAGGTTGGGAGTTAGAGTTGGAAACAGCTTAAACTTAACTTAAAAAGGGCGTTAAAGGGGCGAAAATGCAAAACACCCCCGAACCACTGTATGAACATCACAACCAGTTTCCTCATGTCAAATAGGACCTATGACAAGAGACGAAATGTCATTAGCACGTGTAGGTTGGGAGTTAGAGCCGAAAACGGTTTAAACTAAACCGAAAAAGTGCGTTAAGGGGGTGAAAATGCAAAACAGCCCTCGAATCACCGTACGGATGTTACAACCACTTTTCTCATGTCAAATAGGACTTGTGACATCAGACGGAATGTCATTAGCACGTGTAGGTTGGGAGTTAGAGCCGAAAACAGCTTAAACTTAACTGAAAAAGGGCATTAAGGGGGCGAAAATGCAAAACAACCCCCGAACCACCGTACGAACATCATAACCAGTTTCCCCACGTGAAATAGGACCTGTGACAACAGATGAAATGTCATTACCATGTGTAGGTTGGGAGTTAGAGCCGAACACGTCTTAAACTTAACTGAAAAAGGGCGTTAAGGGGGTGAAAATGCAAAACAACCCTCGAATCACCGTACGGACATCCCAACTAGTTTTCTCACGTCAAATAGGACCTGTGACAGTAGATGCAATGTCATTAGCACATGCAGGTTGGGAGTTAGAATTGGAAACGACTTAAATTTAATTGAAAACTTAGTCAAAAAATGGCGTTTCGGGGGCGAAAATTCAAAACAGCCCCCGAACCACCGTGTGGTCGACACGGGCAGCTTCCCCATGCCAAATATGACTTGTGACAATTGACGGAATGTTATTCGGACCCGTAGGTTGGGATTTAGAGTCGAATAAGCCCAAAACTTAGTCGACAAAAAGGCATTTCAGGGGCAAAAATTCAAAACAGCCCTTGAACCGCCGTGTGGCCAATACGAACACCTTCCCTATGTCAAATAGGACTTGTGACAACTGACGGAACATTATTCAGACTCGTAAGTTGGGATTTAGAGCAGAATACGCCTAAAACTTAGTCGAAAAACGACGTTTCGGGGGCGAAAATTCAAAACAGCCCTTGAATGGTTGACACGAACACCTTCTCCATGCCAAATAGGACTTGTGACAATTGATGGAATGTTATTCGGACCTATAGGTTGGGATTCAGAGCTGAACACGCCCAAAACTTAGTCGAAAAAGGGCATTTCGGGGGCGAAAATTCAAAACAGCTCCCGAACCGCCGTGTGGCTGACATGAACAGCTTCCCCATGCCAAATAGGACTTGTGACAATTGACGGAATGTTATTCGGACCCGTAGGTTGGGATTTAGAGACGAATACGCCAAAACTTAGTCGAAAAAGGGCGTTTTGGGGGCGAAAATTCAAAACACCCCTTGAATCGCCGTGTGGCTGACATGAACACCTTCCCTATGCCAAATAGGACTTGTGACAACTGACAGAATGTTATTCGGACCTGTAGGTTGGGATTTAGAGACGAATACGCCAAAACTTAGTCGAAAAAGGGCGTTTTGGGGGTGAAAATTCAAAACAGCCCTTGAACCGCTGTGTGGCTGACATGAACACCTTCCCCATGCCAAATAGGACTTGTGACAACTGACAGAATGTTATTCTGACCCGTAGGTTGGGATTTAGAGACGAATACGCCCAAAACTTAGTCGAAAAATGGCGTTTTGGGGCAAAAATTCAAAACAGCCTTTGAACCGCCGTGTGGCCGAAACGAACAGCTTCCCCATGCCAAATATGACTTGCGACAACTAACGGAATGTAATTCGGACCCGTAGGTTGGGATTTAGAGCCAAATTTGCCCAAAACTTAGTCGAAAAAAGGCGTTTCAGGGGTGAAACTTCAAAACAGCCCCCGAACCTCCGTCTGACTCTCACAGGCAGCTTCCCCATTACATATAGGACTTGTGACAACTAACGGAATGTTATTCGGACCCATAGGTTGGGATTTAGAGCCGAATACGCCCAAATCTTAGTCGACAAAAGGGCGTTTGGGGAGCAAAAATTCAAAACAACCCTCGAACCGCCGTGTGGCTGACACGAACAGCTTCCCCATGCCAAATATGACTTGTTACAATTGACGGAATGTTATTCGGACCCATATGTTGGGATTTAGAGCTGAATACGCCCAAAACTTAGTCGAAAAAGGGCGTTTCGGGGGCAAAAATTCAAAACATCTCTTGAACCGCTGTGTGGTCATTATGAACAGCTTCCCCATACCAAATATGACTTGTGACAACTGACAGAATGTTATTCGGACCCGTAAGTTAGGATTTAGAGCCGAATACGCCCAAAACTTAGTCGAAAAAGGGCGTTTCGGGGGTGAAACTTCAAAACAGCCCCCGAACCTCCGTCTGACTCTCACGGGCAGCCTCCCTATTACAAATAGGACTTGTGACAACTGACGGAATATATTGGAGATGTATAGTAATGGAAAATTATGGGAAAAATATTCAGAAACCAATATGAACTCAGTTTACACCTTGTTTTAAACTTGCTAATTTTTTGAACGTACATGTTGCATACAAATAAAAGATTGTTACATTAGCTTTATGTTACTAATGAAAGATTTAGTAATGATTGTTCTGCATTTAACAATGTTCCTTATAACAAAAGACTTTAGAAAGACTGTAGAATGACTGATAATTGATTCATTATGGAAGGTTGCTTCTCACTTATTTTTGTTTGTCACTTGTTGCCAAATTCATTCATGAAGTTGGGCATTTTTGGGTCCAATTCTAACGTTTTTTTTTTGTTTTTTGTAGATGACTTTGTTGCGTTGACTTTCAGAGATATTTTGGTGTATGGAGAAGAAATTGTACTTTTGTATAGAAGTAACATAATACTTTTGTCGTCTCCAGCTTTTGTGCAGTTAACTATTACTGATGGCAGCGAACAGATAATTACTGACATGGTAGATAGATCACTTTTTGTCATTGTACAGATATATAATTTTTTGTCGTGGTACATAAATGTACTTTTGGCTTGTGTAGACATCCTCGAACGTCCCAGGAGGGAGATCCTGTTTTGTTCATTTGGGCTCACTACAGTTCAGGACTCAAAGTCACGGTCTTGTATCTAATCTCACAGAGTGCAATGCAAGACCGATGAATCATCAAAGAGTCCAAATCTGGCAAATCATTTTTGAAAACAGATTTTTTGAAAGAAGTGCCAAACATGGACTGCTTTGCCAGATACAGAGTTGTCACCTAAATATTTTATTTTGGGAAATTTAGGAAACTCTGACTAGTTGCCTAAGGCCACGTGTCCGTCATCACCAAAGTTGTCTCGGCTCGTGAACTTGGGTACGATTGGGGAAGGTCACTTCGTGAGCACCCCCGCTTGCCCGATCAAAGATCGGCCTCTACTAACCATGATATCGAGTTTTGAAAACATTATGCGTTCTTATTCCGGTTATTAGCCTAGATTTACTATGTGATGCGCACAGCATACAAGTATAGACTGGATCGCCTGAATTGGAACAAAACATTTCATGTTTGTTTTTGAAAGTGGTTTGATGGTGCTACTCGCAAGTAGGCTAAGACGTGAATTTGCCACCCTCAAGTGGGTTTAGAAAACATGGTTTCGCCACTATTTAGTGGGCTTAAAACTCGCAATCGATGAATTGTTCCAATCTAAATAACCAAACCTTCACCCACAGGCATTCATGCAGATCTATCACATAAGCACATAGCCTCATGGTAAGCATGCTATCATGGCAGTCACTGACACACATGCGAGGATGCTGAAACATAAACACTTACCGAGTACTCCAAGCCAAAACAAAAACTATGTTAGAAATCCATGCATGATCCTAACTATACAGAAATGCTTAATGTAACACATGCAAAATGCAATTATAGTAGGCTCGGCTATTCTAAGGATGGCATGTGAAATGCTACAACTAACAAGTATTCAACTCAGAATTGAAATACAATGCAGTTAGTATGATGCGCCGAGCCCAGTGCACACAATACAGATGAATGATGCAAACATGCAAGCATAAGTATGTTAATTGAAACATGCCCTAATCTAACCATCATAAGCGGGTAAACAAAAGGGAGAAAGACGTGGGGTTGGAAGACATACATCACACGCACGCACACTTATTACAATTGTGCCCTCGCTTGGAGGGTCCGAATAAATAATACAGTCCGAATAATAATTACAGTCCGAATAAGTACAAAACCCTAATTAATTAAGAATTTAACTAGGAAAGCAAGTAAATTAGCATGCAAATCTATGGACCGTCTCAGCTCTGTTCCGAATGATGAAAGATGCATGCTCGAGTTGCCTTGTGCGGAAATCCATTGTGATGCCCCGATTCGCCTCTATTTGCAATTAATGCCAGAATGCTGTGCAAGGCTTTAGAAAACTGCTGATTTCTGATTTGCTGCAACAGAGAGCAAGAAAGGGGCACAACAAAGTATTTTCACATATGTATGCATGACTACTCTTCAGGGAGTGTAGTCCTCGATCCTCGTGCCACCAATCACGCATTTTGATGCATGATGGCCGAGGAGTCGAATTGCATGACTTGATATGAAATGAATGCACATATAAACACAACAAGACCTAAACTCCATCATGGGTAATCCGGAGTGTCGGCGACCTGGAATTGAGACACGTTCCGTCACTCGGAATACGAAACGTCCCTCGTTTCCCATGCTTAGACTAACTCCTATCCCAAACACAATGCAAATGAGATGGCATACACAATGCGACTAACATACAACCTAGCATACGCAATGCTATGAAATGGCATACACAATGCTCGATGTAACATAGCATACACAATGCTCTAACATGCAACTCAACATACACAATGCTATGGACTGAAATGGCATACACAATGCACGATGGACTTACACCAACATGAGTGGACCTCAGCCACACTCACATTAGTGGCCATATGATGGAAATAAAACAACCGAAACACATGCAAACATGGACGGATGCAAAGTATCGATCCTAAGGCATAACGTGCAACTCTAACTAAGCATGGCAGAGGATGAAATATGGCATACAAACACACAAATTCCAGCTCTAAAACATGATACAAAATGGTCCCGAAACATGCAAACATGGCACACAATGCAAGCTAGGAGGCCCGGGTACCGAAACTAGTGAAGTGCGTTACTCTAGAAGTACCCAAAACAATGCACTAAAGGCAAAGTCAACCCTAAACAGACCCTAGGCAGGTCTAAAATAGTGGGAAAATGGCCTAAAATGATGGCTCGGAATGCAACAAAATGGAGCTCATTCAATGGTTCGAAAACAAGGCGTTCATGGACAACTCTCAAGCACACTTAAGGAGTACAAAACATGACAATGTGCCTGTTTGGCAGAGCTTAATTACAGCTTATTTCAGCTTTCAGCTTAATTTAAGCTATTTTGATGTGTTTAGTTTAGCTTATAGCTTATAACTTATAGCTTATAACTTTTTGGAAGTCAGAAATCAGCTTATTTTTTGAGTGGGGCAGGAGATGCTTTAACAATAAGTTGGAAATCAACTTAAGCTGAAAATTATAAGTTATAAGCTGTTGAGGCATAAGCTATAAGTAGTTTCCCACAGTTCTACCAAACAGGGCCAATATGGCATTGATACAAGCTCTGAAATATGATATATAATAGACTCAAAACATGAACACACCTCAGTGTATGCATGGAATGAACCTCGAAACTCAAAGCTAAGCATGGACCTTGAACTACAAGTATGCAAAACTAACATCCTTCGACCACAAGACCCAAAAACAGAGCTAGGGCAGTCTAAAATAAGCACATTATTAGTTTAAGGCATAGCCAAAATATGCTAGAATCAATGGCCTATAAAGCATGCAAAGAAAGCTAGTGAACCATGAGTTGTTCTACAACTATATGAAGCGTATGAGGGCTCACCCAACCAGCTAAAAAAACAAGTATTTCATGCCAAAATATGCCTAAATAACCACTGAAACTTAGTCAACACATGTAAGAATGATGAGCCCCTTTGGAAAGTCATGCGAGGGGTTGTTCTACACATACATGATAGGCAGACAAAAGGGGAAAACCACCTCTGGAAATAAGTTATGACAGCCCTAAAACTCACCAAAAAGGCCCTGAAATTAGTCTAGGAAGCATGCAATGAAAGGCCCCTTTGAAAAGCCTTGAACGAGATTGTTCTACACATGCATCATAGACAAAATATGGACAAACGGGCTCTAGAAAGAGCTAAGGAAGACCTTAAAACTCACAAAATAGGGCCTAAAATGTGACTTCACAACATGCAAGATGGAGTCCCTTTGGAAGGCCAAAAATGCTAGTAAAGAGAACAAGGGGTGAGAGGGTCACCCCTCTCTGATTTTGAAGCTCAAAAACACATATAAGCCACTGAAAATCTATTGGATTTTAGTGGCTAAAAGGCCAAACCAAGGCCAATGCAAATGCTCAAATACAAAGCTCAAAACATGGGGAAATGAAGCATGCAAAGGGGAAGGTGACCCCAAACAGAAAAGTGACCTTAATCAAACATCAAGAGGGGCTCAAAATAAGACTCTTTTCAGTTTATGACAAATCTAAAAAATGCTCACAAGCAAGGCTAAAATATGATGCAAAATAAGCCTACAAAGAGGGATAGAGCATACAAGGAGGTAGATGGCCTCAAACAGAAAAGTGTCCTCAATCAAACTTCAAGAGGAGCTCAAAATAAGACACTTTTCAATTTATGACAAAGTCCAAAAAAGCTTGAAAATAAGGCTAATCAATAGAGCAAAATAATGCAAGAAAAGGGAAAATAGGGACTCACCCTTGAAGAGCAGATTTCCAACAACTTCTGGACCAAGAAAAGAGTTCTTCAACCTCTAAAAATCAGCCCCAAGATGCTTGGGTGGATGGTAGAGGTGGTAGGCTATGAGGTGTGGTGCAAATGGTGCAAGAATATTAGGGTTTGGAGCTTGGAATAGTGAGCTATGGAGGGAGAGGTGTATAAGTCTTAAACAAAATTGTTCAATCTCTTTAATGGAAGAGGAGGGCCTCTCTTATAGAGAAGAGAGCCAAAGCTTCTCTTGGAAGCTTCAAATATCCTCCATACACGTGTATGGAGGATGGTCCAAATGCCCTCCAGCTGGCACAGTTGTGATGTATTCAGAGAGAGCAAAAAGCAAGAAGCAGGCCGACCAGTTAAGGTGGTCGGTCGACCAGGGGTCAAAAGGATCAAGGAGAAATGCTGGCCGGCCACCCCAGAAAGGTGGCTTCCCAGATGAGTGCAACACAGCTGTATGGTGGAAAACAGAAAATGTGACCTAGGAGAGAGAAAAATCAGCTTTTTAGCAAGGTTCAAAAGGGTCAAGAAGAATTACTGGTCGGCCTACCCATATTGGTGGCCTTCCAGATGAGCACAACACAATGGTGGCATGAAAAACCAGAAATTGTGGCTCAAAAGTGAGAAAAACCAGCTTTCTGTCAGAAAAATCAACTGGAGGAGAGAGAAAAAGAGAAAGCTAGTTTCCAAGGGTAAAAGGTGTCCTCCCACCATACTACCACCTCCCTAGCAATGAAAATGGGGTCCCTACCAAAAATGGACCAAGACATATGCAAAATGAAGGTTCAGGGGCCAAAACGCGCTGTCTGGGGCCGCGAAAACAGGCTGTTAGGCACTGAAAGTGGCGTATGACCACGAAGGTGGTCTCCTGGGCCACAGTGTCCCTCTAAAGGGAGGAAACAAGGTGTGTGCCAAAAACCAGAGCAAACGGAGGTAGTCAAGCGGTCCCGAACTGAGGAACACGACCGACGGCTTTGAAAACTAGAAACCGGACTCCAAACGGGAAAAATGGCCTACGACCACGAAACGTAGCCTACAGCCACTGAGAGATGGTCTACGAGACCTCTCCCTCCCTTCGGGAAGAGAAAACAGAGAAAACAGGACTTGGTTCGCAAACCGAGGCAAAGCACAAAAGAGCCCCGAAGTTCAGAGGCAAGGCTCGCAGCCGAGACTCGGCAACCTCAGAATGAGCACA